TATTCTTTTATTATTTTTTTACTAGTTATTAAATTAATATTTACATTTCATAATAACCATTATTAAAAAATAATTTAAGTCATATATAACATTATTTAATAATTGAATAACTGATAGTTATAACTTATTAAAAATCACCAAAAAGAGATTATAAGATTGAGAACTTGAAATAATTATTAAACTGACTGAGGTATTTTATGATTCTATTAATTATAGCACTTCTTCACATAAGTTATGCATTTAATAATCAGTGCTCTTCTGCTACATTAGTTGACTTAACAACTATGAATGAATTTTCTGTTACAGAAGACACTACTCAATCTACTCTTTCATCTTATCGAGTTGGAAGAAAAATGATAAAACAGAAGGGTAAATGGTATCGAATTCATACCAATGGATTAGGTAATAATATTGAAATAGATACTTGTTTATCTGGAACAACAAATTTTGATTCAAAAATCATTGTCTTTGGAGGTTGTTCAAGAGGCATTGGAACACAACTATTATCAATGAACGATGACAGTTTTACAGGTTGTGGTTCAGCTGCTAGGTTGATATTTAATGACAAAAGAAAAACAACGTTCTTTGTTTTTATTACTGGGTCTGATGTAAATGATGTTGGAATTTTTGGATTAAGGATCAACAAATTACCAGCAACAAGTAATAAAGAGTGTAAATACGCTCAAGAGATTAATCAATACCCAACATACAGAGAAGCTACTACAACAGGTATTGCTCCTAATTATAAAGGGTTATCAGGATTATTTTATACTATCAAAGGTAATGGAGATAGGATTCATATTTCTACATGTCATAGAGCAACTAATGTAGATACAATAATTAATGTATTTGATAATTGTGAGTTAATGAATCCAATTTCAGTTCAAACTAGAGTATGTGATAATAAAAATATGGGTTCAAAAATATTTATTGATACACAGCCAGGTAAAGTTTATAATGTTCATGTATCTTCTACTCCAAAGAAAAGAGGAATGTTTATTGTTGCGTTTGAAACAGAAAATACAATTGTACCTCAAACATGTGAAAAATCTACTGCAATTACTTCATTACCATTTGCAAGTACAACTAAATTAGATGGAAACACATTGAGTATGTCATGTGGTAATACTCAACAAAAAGTTGGGGCATGGTATTCAATTGTAGGAGATGGATATGATTATATTTTATATACTTGTAACAGTATGAATGGACCTCAAGATGGAACAATGATAGAAATATTTGAAAGTTGTAATTCAAATAGTCAATGTGTTATGAATGATAATGGATGTGGATTACATGGTAAGATTAGTAAAAAACTAGAAATGAATAAAAATTATTTTATTAAAGTTAGTTGTACAAATCCTCACACTCAGTGTAGAGTTACTTTGAACGTAGAAAAATTAAATACACAAGGAGATATAAATAGTTGTATAATTGCTAAAACTGTAGAAATTACAAGTAGAACAGACTCTTTTACAGACTCTTTTGATATCACTACCGCAAGAACATCTGAAACAAAATGTGGTGGAGTTAAACCAAGAAAAGGATTGTGGTATAAAGTTGTAAATAATTATAAATATGCTTTTCCTTTATTCATTCAAACAAATGTACTTTTGGCTTCTTCTACTAAACACACTGCAGAAATTCAAATGTACCGAAGTTGTACATTGGAGTGTGAAGAAAGACAGTTGTCTGTTCAACATTTAACACTAAAACCAAAAGAAACAGTTATGTTCTTTATCACTACAGATGAGACTGAAGGGCAACTTGGTATTTTCATAAGAGAAGACCATAGACTACAACATGACACTTGTAAAACAGCACTAGAATTTAATGCACCATTTACTGTAGTTGAATATAAACCAAATACTGGAAGAACAACTAATCCTGTATGTGCGGCTAATCTTGTTGGCAAGCACACAGGTATTTACTATTATTTCCAAAGT